AAAAGAAAAGAAAAGAAAAGAAAAGAAAAGAAAAGAAGAAAGTTGCGCAGTTACTTAAAAGGTGCAAATTCTGGGAAAGTCCAAAAGAAAGTCCAGAGTGGTTGAGGAAGCCTTCACCTTATAATAAGGCCCAAGCCATATTTTGGGGGTCAAAAGAAAATAAGACCCTGCCTTATTTTCAGGGAAACACGGTACTTACATTTCAATCTATCACCTTCATTGATGGAGTTATACTGAAAATCTAAATTTGGGGATTATTTGGTTTACTCACTTGTTTTAAAACTAAAGAGCATCTTGAAACAAAACATAATGGTTTGCATCTTTTCTGATTCATCCCCCCCGCTTCTGACTGATAAAAAAACAACAAACCCCAACCTTCTGATAGGATAAAGCAGTAATGCAAGTTTAAATCCAACTCCAAGGTGAATTATTTAGAGAAAATTCAATATTATAGTGTAAGAAATAATGCTCACCTTCTTTAGTATCTCTGTATTCAAAAGCATTTGCACATCTATGCTACAGGATTCAGCTTTTGCTAGTGAACTTAAATTACACCGTATGATTAAGCAGGACCTGCCTGGTCTTTCACAATCCTAAAGGATAACAAGTAAATAAAATTAAGGAAGAAAAGAATGATAATCAATAAACCTTGTTCAGCTATCTATACAAGCAAATCTATCAGGATTGATTACATTCTTATTTTCCCTACTTTTGGTTTATTCCATCATGTTTCACCATCATGTCTAACTTTTCTAACATCATTTCTAAGTACAAATTTGCATTATTATGTATGGTTTTCTCCTAACGAAACACATTCTTGTATGTACTTTATAGAGCAGGGATGTCAAACTCAATTTCATTGAGAGCCAGATCAGTGTTGTGGTTGTCCTCCAGGGGCTGAAGTGGGTGTGGCTGACTGGGTGTGGCCTGGGGGCATGGCGGGTTTGACATCACTCACATAGGTGGTGAAGTGCATGGCTGCCAGCCCTGGTATAATTCTCCAAGGTTACATCAGAGATCCCCCCCTCTCTCACACACACACAAATAGAGGTTGGATCGGATTGCTCTGGCTCCCTTTCTCCCTCTCTCTCTCACACACACAAGCAGAGGTTGAATCAGATTGCTCTTGCTCTCTCTTTCACACACTCTCCTGCTCTCTCTATCTCTCTCTTACGCACACACACACACAAACATCACTCTCTTGCCCCCTCTGTCCCCTCTCCCTCCCTCCCTCCTCTCACAGATGCACACAAACAGAGGTTGGATCGTGTGTGTGTCTGTTTCTGTGTCTGTGTCTATGTCAGCAATGGTGATGCTTCAGTGTCTGGCCAGTGGGGTGCTTCTCACTCGGCCACTTTCCCTCTTCTTCTCCCCATTCCCCTTCTCATTCAGACAAAGCTGCACTTTTCATTTATCTATTGCAGTGCAGCGTCTTTGACAGCTGCGGGACTTGGGGTATGGTCAATCACCATTTGTGGCACAGTGGAAAAGGCAGGAGGCAATCCCCCTACCAGACCAGACCAGCCTGGTGGGGGGATGGGGATTGACCATCCTCCAAATCCCATCTCTGTCAAAGTAAATTCTGGGTGAAAACAGCTGAGTGAGAAGCACCCTGCTGGCTGAACACTGCCACTGCCACCACAATGAGATATATAGAGTGATCCAATCCAACTTTTGTGTGCGAAAGAGAGAGGGAGGGAGGGAGGGAGGGAAGGAGGGAGAGAGAGAGAGAGAGGGAGAGAGAGAGAGAGATGATCCAACCACAGAGAGTTATAGCAGGGCTGGTGGTGTTGGGCTCTCTCTCTCTTTCACACACACACACATATACAGTGGTTTGATCACATAGTTCTCTCACTCTCTCACCCCACCTCATGGTGGCGGCACCAGCTATACTCTCAGCAAAGCGGTAGGAGGTGGAAGACAAAACGAGGCAGTGTTGGTAGTGGAAGATGAAACAAAGCAGAGAGTGAGGAGCTGCCCCGTGCACTGGCTTACCTGAGGGCCCTGCAGCCAGGCCATCAACATCCTCCCAAATGCCTGGCCTTGCAGCGGTGGCTCCAGAAACCCCATCCAGCACCTCATGTGGCTTCCAGCCCAATTCTCCTTGCTCGCTGCTGCAATTGATAACCTGCCTGCAGGGCACTCAGGTTAGGTGATGTGGGGTGTCGGTTATGCCAAACCCTCACCCTCTCAAGAGCAGCCACATCCCTTTCTAACCTGCTTTCCAGCTCTGTTCACTGCCGTCACATGGAGGGCAACAAAAGTAGTCTGTGGGACTACTAGAAAAAAATAGTTCAGACCTTCCAACTTCTCTCACAAAAAAAAATCTCCAAGTTTTACCATAGTCCAACAGACTACTTTTGTTGCCCTGCATGTGACAGTGGAGAACTGGGCCTGTGTGTGCCCAGCTCTTCCTGTGTGCATGCATGCCACCAGGATGGCGTGGGTGGGCCAAAGCAACATGGGTCGGCTCCAGGGGTGGGTTTCAAAAATTGTTCGAACCTACTCTGTGGGCGTGGCCTCCTTTGTGGGAGTGGCTTGCTGCCCATGTGACCAGATGGGAGTGGCCTGCCACCCATGTGACCAGATGGGCCTGCCACCCATGTGACCTGGTAGGAGTGGCCAAGACGATGTTACTAGATATTACTAATTACTAGATAT